CCCCCCCCCCCCCCCCAAAATAGGTTTCCGTTGAATACAAACGAGCCGTTTGGCCTTTTATCTGGAAATCAAAATCTGAGACTGTGAGCCGAGCGCGGTGCGTGGCCCCCATCGCGCGTGGGGGTCTGAATATTGTTGATTTGAAACGAAGTGTTCAAGTTTGCGTTTGTCGGGTCTCTCTGGGTATCGGGAGGGATTCGGCACATGCAAATGGCACTTTTTAGCCCGTTATTTTTTCGGAAATCGCTTTTCTAATCTTGATCCTAGTTTTGATTTCTCTTCTCGTTCAATTCCTTTGTCTTCCGAGCCGTCTGCCTTTTATCGTAATTGTTTGTCTCTGTTATCTTCCTTGCGCAGTAAACACGGTTCTTTACCGGCTGATTTTTCTTGTAAGAATTTGTATAATCTTCTGCTAGATGTTCCGAGCGCCTCTCCGCGCTCCTCCGGTTTCTGGGCTGCTTCGCTTAAGAGGCCGATGAACCGGTGGGCCGCGGTTTGGCGCAAGTCTCGCCTTAAGCTGATCGAAAATAAGAAAACTGATCTACTCTGGCTCATTATTCACCGTGCAATCAAAGTTCGATACGCTTTGAAAACTTGGGGATACAAACTTAAATCTGATATGTGTGCTTTGTGTTCCCAAGTTGAAACAATTGAGCATTGTTTTCTGTTTTGCCCTCGCGTGCGCGCTGTGTGGAATTATTTTACCCCTCATCTGTCTCGTCTTTCTACTTCCCCTTTTTCTGTTACTCTTCTTGTATTTTCTTCCCTTTCTCGTCTCGTGCTTCTTCGCCTTCTTTCTCGCTTTACTGTTATTTAATCGCTACAATTTTATTTTGGATTTGGCAAACTAGAAATCTCGCAACTTTTCGGAATTCTGTCTTGAATTTTAATCAAATCGTTAACCTGATTAAGAAGGATGTTTCCTGCCGAATTTTGTGTGCCAAACAGGATGAAAAAGAAAATTTCTGGTCTACTAGTAATGTTCTTTGCAAGATTTCTGATGCTAACTCTATTTCCTTTTTCCCTTACTGCCCATAAGTTCGCTTTATTTATTTATTTGCTCCAAGATATCTTTGTACATAGCCGCTTTTAATTCTAGTTTAGCCGTTTTGCCTATGAACATTTAGCCGATCGCTTTGTATATAGCCGCTTTAGCTTATTTAACTTGCTTTATTTTCCTGTACATAGTCGCTCTAGCTACCGGAAGTCTTGTAAATATTTCCCGCTGATTTGCATTTATTCCCTGAAATCCTGTAAGCTTTTCCCGGAATCTTGTACATAGCCGCGCTACTTAGACTAATTTACATTAATTCCAGGAAACCTTGTAAATATTTCCCGGAAACCTTGTAAATAGTTAGCGTTAGTTTAGTTCCTTTTTTCTTTTTGTTTCTCTTTTGTAAATACGGTGGAGTTGGTCTTTCAATAAAACACCCCTGCGGGGGTTTTTATATTCTTAAAAAATATATATATATATATATATATTACATAATATAATTTTAGAGCTTATTTAAACATGATGGTAAAATTTCAAGTTATCTAGACCTAATTAGAAATTCAGCCAATAGGAAAGACTTAGTGAAAATTCGTATAAGTAACCACAAACTCATGATTGAAACTGGAAGATATAAT